CGGCTTGGGAATGGTCTTGCAATCCCATCGAACCATCGCCTGGGCGTGAATGCGGGAGACCAGGTTCGAGGTCAAGATGAAGTAGTCGATGGTGGTGTTGCCGTTGTCAGTGTAGCAGGTCGGAGTTGGAGGGACCAATGAGATCCCTGCCAACGCTTCGATCCAGCCCCGAACATTGACGGTTTCGATGCCAGAGTTCCAGTCACCACCCAGAACCCAGTCGATGCCCATGGCATTCCACTCAGCGATCCGCTGGGCGAGCTCCCACAGGATCTTGATGTTCTCATCAGCCACGCCGAGGCCCTGAACCAAGTACACGCTAACGAGAATGAGCCCACCAGGTACGCCCCAGTGAACATGTGCAGCCACCGCGCGACCAGGGTAGAGAATGTGGCCGCCTTTCCCAGGCGGCGCAGTGATCCCAATGTGGGTGGGGACGAGCACGCACACGCCCGACGTGTTGGCAGAGTCGGACGTGCCAATCGTCGGTAACGCAGGGGCCCATAGCCCATGCCAGCCGAGGTCCAAAGCCTGATGTTGAATAGCACCAACTCGGCCTTCAATCACCCGAGTCTCTTGGCCCATGACGGCGACGCCCTGGAAGTGCGAGAGGAAGCCCATAAGCGGGCCGTGAGAGCTCGAGTTGACCGTGACGATGTCGCGTTGGCAGGGCATACGCTGACCCCGCCGTGGCACCTCAGGGGTGCCATCGGCTGCGACCGTTGGATCCTCAGCAACAACAGGAGCATCCACAGCAGGGCTACCACTATCACGGTCGCCAGAGTGGTGTTCACCACCATGCTGTGGAACACCAGGCTGGTGAACACCAGGCTGTTGAACACCAGGCTGTTGAGCAGGATGAAGACGCGGGCTGCGTGAACGTTCAGGACGTTGCAAGCGGGGCATGTCGACATCCACCCGAGGAGCTACAGGAGCCCCATCAGGCAAGGAGGCTGAGGCAGTGGCTGTGCCAGACGAGCCATCAACCAGTTGACCATCAGGGGAGTGAACGCGTTCAGGTAGTAGCCGTGGTACCTTATGTGGAGGAGCTCCCAATATACACCCTGCGAAATGCTTAAGAAATCATGGATTAAGAAATTCATAGTCTCAGAACTTGAATAAAACCCAGAACTTCTATCAAAATCTTGGGATTTACATTGGAAAGTTAAGAATAATCGAGACTCTGGACGAAAACTTAGGTTTTCTTGAGCATCGCCTGAGGTGTACCTTCATGAGCCTGAGGCGCAGTCGTTGCCATCCCTCGGGCAGCGGGCGCGTCATCAGGGACACGGGGCAGAGCCGCGACGTCGTGGGTTTGCACGGCGACGCTGCGGCATCGGCACGGCACGCGCAGCGGATACGAGGCCGATGTGGCTTCACAGCAGCAATTCGGCCCCTGACTTTCGTCCTGGGCTCGGTTTAGGGAAGTGATGAATTTCGGAGTCCTTACGTGGGAAAAAACATCACTTCACTAATCTGGGGCCCCTGGGGCCTCAGTGGGCCCTGGGGCCCAAAATTAGTGAAGTGATGGTTTTCGGGCCTCGGACAGGAGTCCACATTGGCGCCTGTCCGTGCGGGGCAACGGTAGGGGGGGGGGGGGGGACTGGCACAGGGGGGGTATGCATCGACCTGGAACCGGCGATGCCTCGCCGATAGGTCGGCGATAGGCCTCCGACAGTGAATCCGCACCTTCCGGGGCAGGTTGGGGCTATCGGGCCCCTATCGGCGATCAATGGGCGATTGGGGGCCGATGCACCCCCCCATATGCCTACCCCCGCCCATCGTTGCCCCCGAGTTCGCCCGCACAACTATAATAGCCGCCGGTGCATTGTGCAGCCGGGGGCTGTCTTCCTCCTCCTTCTTCTCGTCGTCCTCGTCTTCTACTCGACCTCTTCCACCCTCCCTGTCGCCCTGCCCCTGCGGAATGAATGCAGCGGAACTCACCAGAACGATCAGACCTTCAACACATCCACCATGTGCATTGCCGCAATTGTTTCCATCGCAGCGGTGATCCATCTGGGGTTCGGAACATGATGTCCTGCATCGCAAAATCAGGGCCCAACAATCACCGTGCAAGAATTCTTCACCGCCGTGATTCCACCTGACTATTCCGTTACAAGTTCGGGGTTCGGGGCCGGATGTGTCGATACCATACCAAAAGGTGTCGCAATGAAGCTCGAAATCGTGTCCAAGGCATTTCTTACCCCAAAGGGCACAGATCGGCTTTGTCATCCTTCAGGAGGCCAGGATATAGAGGCGAGTGTGGGAGCGGATACGGTTACCGACTCAGCCAGAGGCCGCCATCCGAAGGACAACAACTGGGAGGCAATACGTGTGCCTGGAGAGCCACGCGTGCCAAGAGCGCCACGCGCACACGGGTGGGGTGCGCGAGCCCACCTGCTACGCCAAATACGCCATGTGCGCCAATTGTGCCGCGTGCTCCGGGCATGCCAGGCGCGCTGCATGAGCCACGTGCACGACGCGCACGGGCCGGGTCCGCGCCAATGACCGTCACAACCACCGTCGGGCAGCATGTCGGCACCTGCACCATCCCTGCCGGCAGCGAATGTGTGATGTGCGCACGAGGTGTGACGTGCGTGTGCAGTCGTAGCGGCGGGGGGGGGGTTCAGCACGACGCACGATGTGAGGTGCGCACCCGCGATCATCAATCCCACCACCCCTGCGGGCCGAGGTGGTCTGGCGAGCTTCCTCTTCCGACCCCCCTCTGCTCCTTCGGGGAGGAGGAGGAGGAGGAGGAGGAGGAGGGAGGAGGAGGGGAAGGAGGAGGGGGGGGAGGAGGGGGGGGAGGAAGGGGGAGGAGGAGGAGGGGGAGGAGGGGGGAGGGGGGGGAGGAGGGGGAGGAGGAGGGGGAGGAGGAGGAGGGAGGAGGAGGAGAGGAGGGAGGAGGGGTCTCATCTCCCCCAGCCCCCTGGGTCTGCACGGGGGGCGGGGCGGGGAGCGGCCAGCACGCCCGATCGGCGAACGATCCCTACTCCAAGGTCGCTCCAGATAGCCCAAGGTGGCCCTCAAGACGTCACTAAGAAGCATCAGAAGAAGATGTCCTCAGGGGAGACTGCAAGCCTAGAACCACATAAACATAAACTTTTAGCGCTCCCCGCGGATTTCTTGCAGCCGCGCCTGCAGGCCCCCCCGGCGGCGCCTCTGGCAACGCCCCGCGGGCCGCATCCTGGCGCCGGAGGCGCCGCCGGGGGGGCCTGCAGGCGCGGATGCAAGAAATCATGTGTTCTTTCCTGATTCGACGCAAGCCCCAGGTCGGGCCTGCCCCCCTACAGTGGGATTTTGGGTGATTTTTTTGTAAAACCATCAAAAATTGTCAAACATTGTTTTTAAAAAAAATCCCTAATGTAGAGGGACACGCCTATTTTCTGACTATTTCTAAAAAAACAACTAAAAATCCCCTAAAAACCCCTCATTGCAAAAATCCCATAAAAATCCCATATGTTCTGACTATTTCTGAATATTCCCCATGTAGAGGGACACGCCCGACTTAATGCAGGCCGCCCCGCCCCCAAACGCCGAGGAGCACCGCCGGGGGCCCTCAGTCTACCACCCGCCCAGGGGCAGCTTCCGTCCGGTCGAGCCCGCCTTGCTTCCCTTCATGTGCTGCTCACCCACCTCCTCCAACGCTTCCTCCTCCTCCTGCCTCCTCCCCTCGTCAGCCTCCTGTCCTCCTCCTCCTCCTCCTCCTCCTCCAATTCCTCCTCCTCCTCCTCCAATTCCTCCTCATCCTCCTCTTCCTATTCCTCCTTCTCTTCCGCCGCCCTCTACTTTATAATCCGCCCCCCCCAATCGACTCCTTCTCTTCCTCCTCTTCCTACTCCCACTCTTCCTCGTCCCTCTCCCCATCCTCCTCCTGCGCATTCCTCCGACGTTCCTGCCCTGCCCTATTCCTCCTCCTCATCCCCTCCCTCATTCCCTCCTCCTCCTCTCTTCGTCCTCCTCCTTCTCCTCCTCCTCCTAATACTCCTCCTCCTCCTCCTCCTCCTCCTCCTCCTCCTCCTCACCCCGCGTGGGTCGGCTGGAGGGCAGTGTGGCATTGAGGAAAGCCTCTCAGAACACCCTTGGAGAGTTTGGGACCATGACGTGCTGGCGGGCCAGGATGGCTCCCGACTGGATGCATTGTTCTGAGCTGCGTGCTGGCACTGTACGCCGACACCTGGACAGCGGCGCCTTGCGCCGCTGTGCGCCAGGCCCTGCGACATGCCGGCATTGGCCGCACGCGCGGCCAGAAAGCGCTTCCAACGAGCAGGCCTCCCCGCCTTGCCTGGGACTCGTTTCGCTCGGTGTTCCCCGCGCGCAGTACTCCCCCGTGCTGCCTGGTCCCGGCGCCCTGGGGCTGCAGGCCAGGGAGGGCCTCCTTTGCCACAGGCAGTCCTGCAGCAAGTGCTGCCCTGTACGCACCGAGCTCGGCCACCTCGCTTGTCGCGGGCGTCGGGGTTGTGCGCGGCCAGGCCGAAGCACCGCTCGAAGGCGTAGGCAGAGGTCCAGCGAGAGCCGGACCCTCGGGCGGCGGTCCCGCCTCGCAGGGAGGACCCCGACCCCGAGGCGAGCTGATTGAGGGGTGGTGTCCTGTCGGTGGGCCCCCGCCTGGGGATGGAACCCGGGCGGCGGAACAGAAACGCTCCTCCGAGGGCACCTCGTCGGATGGGCGCCCGTGGACGGAGCAGGGGCCCTGGGCGGCAGGCTTGAGTCGGGCCTGTCCCTCTACAGGATCAAAAATAATAGAACAATTGCGTGGGGACGATTTTTTAAAATACTTTGTTGGCTATGTTGAGATCTTTTGGGAGCCTTTTTCTGCTGCTCTCTCTTGATCTGGCCTGGGCCGCCCGCGCCCCTGGCCCCGGTGGGTGGCAGAACCCCCGGCCTCCTCTCCTCGTCAGCTTCCCTTCCCCACCAATCTCCTCGCCCCCGCTGCCGATGCGCGGTGACGTCAGCGGGGGCCCCCCGCGGACAGCGCGGAGGCGCGGTGCAGATCGCGCCTCTTGATGTCCTCCGTGAGACGGCCCGCCTCCTGGGGGGGGCGGACAATGGCTGGCAGAGGGGGGGGGGGACGAAAGGGGGGGAGGAGACAGAGGGAGGGGGGGGGGTGGAAGAGGCTAGGAGGGGGAGGGGAGAAGGGGTGCCAAGGAGAAGTTTAGATAATCAGTCAGAGGAGGACGAGGAGGAGGAGGAGGAGGATGAGGAGGGGGGAGGAGGAGGAGGAGGAGGAGGAGGAGGAGGAGGAGGAGGAGGAAGAGGACCATCTCCTTACCTACGATGACTCTAAGTCCGCCAGCCACACTGGTGGGCCACAGCAGTCTGCGTGGGCTAAGCTTTCCTGCAACCTGTGCCTGCTCCAGTTCCCAATGATATGTTTACACATTCTCTACCTCCACTTGTCTAATGATCGAAGGCGACACGAGAACCCCTGCAAGAAACACGCCATCGCACCACGGAGAAATCAAACCCCTTCAATCCTCCCCCTCTGCACGTCCCTCCCCCTCCCTCTCCCCCTGTACTCCCCCCGCTCTCCTTCCTCGATGTCGTCTTCGTTGTCGACTTCGTCCTCTGCGTGCTCCTCCTGTGCCCTTCCTGCTCCTCCTCTTCCTCCTCCTCCTCCTCCTGTTCCTCCTCTTATTCCTCCTCCTATTCCTCCTCCTCCTCCTCCTCCTCCTCCTCCTCCTCCTCCTCCTCCCTCTCTGTGATGCGGTGATCCGGACCAATTCTGCTCACGAAGAGCTGGGGACCTCGACCCCCGCGCCAGGCCACCGCGAGAGGGGGGGGAGGGCACGAGAGGAAGAGCAGGGGACGGGCACGCAGAGGCCAAGCAGAGGAGTGACGCGCAGACGGAGAAGAAGACCGCCAGGGGGGAGGAGGGCACGAGCAACCAAGGAGGCACGAGAGGAAGAGAAGGGGATGGACACGCAGAGGCCAAGCAGAGGAGGGGCGCGCAGACGGAGAAGGGGACCGCGGGGGGGGGGGGAGGGCAACAAGAGCCACCAGGCACGAGAGAAAGACAAGGGGACGGACACGCAGATGCCGAGCAGAGGAGGGACGCGCAGACGGATAAAAGGGCAAGAACAACCAGGAGACACGAGAGGAAGAGAAGGGGACGGACACGCAGATGCCAAGCAGAGGAGGGATGCGCAGACGGAGAAGAAGGCCGCCAGAGGGGGGGGTGTAAGAACAGCCGAGAGGCACGAGAGGAAGAGAAGGGGACGGACACGCAGATGCCAAGCAGAGGAGGGACGCGCACACGAAGAAGGGGACCGCCTGAGGGGGGGGGTACGAGCAACCAAGGAGGCACGAGAGGAAGAGAAGGGGATGGACACGCAGATGCCAAGCAGAAGAGGGACGCGCACACGAAGAAGGGGACCGCCTGAGGGGGGGGAGGGTACGAACAACCAAGGAGGCACGAGAGGAAGAGAAGGGGACGGACACGCAGATGCCAAGCTGATGCTGATGCACCCGCGGAAGGCTGCCGGCGCCTGTGCGCGCTCGCGGCGGCGCGGTGCTCGTGCCAGGTGTGGCCCGAGCGTGGGACCCACAGTCCCTGCGGAAAGGGGTGGGGGCCCAGCTCGGCTCGCCTTTATGAAGGGGGCCAGGGACACACGAAAATAATTACACACACACACACGCACGCACGCACGCACGCACGCACGCACGCACGCACGCACGCACGCACACACACCCACCCACCCACCCACCCACCCACCCACACACACGCACGCACGCACACACACACACACACACACACACACACACACAAACACACACACACACACACACACACAACAACCCCCCGTATGTTTGCATATGTTCATGCTGTCCGTCTTCCCCCCACTTCCACATGTGTGTGTGTGTGTGCGTGCGTGCGTGCGTATGTGTATGTGTGTGTGTGCGTGCGTGCGTGCGTGCGTGCGTGCGTGCGTGTGTGTGTGTGTGTGTGTTTGTGCGTGTGCGTGTGTGTGTGTGTGTGTGTGCGCGGTCGTGTATGTGTGTGTGGGCGTTGGTGTGTGTGCGTGCGTTCCCTATCCTGAGCCTCTCCCGGGTAAAAGTCCCCGCCCCCGATCCAACCAGCCTCGTCCGGGGGCGAGGAAGGTGGCGCGCAGGTGCGAAACGGCGCGGCGCAGCAGGAGCGGGCTGCGCGCGGGGGGGAGGCGTGGAGGGAACGCTGGTGAACAAGGTCGGGCGCCCTGCGAATGGCACGGCGGAGCGAGAGCGAGCGCGAGAGGCGGGGGCGCAAGGAGGCAAGTGAGGAGGGGGGGTCGCCCGAGCAAGACGCAGCCCCCCCAGCCCCTGAGCTGATTGCGCCCCCCGCCCATCCCTGCCCCGCGAACGGCTGGCGGCGGGGCGACGTGGAGGAGGTTACCTTGCAGAAGGTATGGGCTGCAAGAAGACGAAGTGAAGGGGGGGCGGGTCAGGGTGGACCCGGGAGTTCCACGAGAGGAAGTCGGCAAGGGTGAGGCTGGCGCCCAGGGGGGCCGCGAGGTGGAGCCTCGTGATGTGCCCGCAGGACAGGCGATAGCAGTTGTGGAGGTAGGCGTGTTGCTGGAGTTGGAGTGCGCTGCTGTGTGCCGCGACGGTGAGAAGTTGCTGGCGCCGCGTCGAGCGGCAGCAATTGCTGCTGCTGCTGCTGCTGCTGCTGCCGCGGTGGCAATGGGCGCGCCGTGGAGGCGCGGCGCAGTGGTGGAAGATGCGGAGAAAGCGGGAGCCAGCGGGGCGGTGGTCGCACAATCGCTGGAGCAAAATCTGCAAAGATGTAGGAGGGCTGCGCCACGCAGTGGGCGGCTGTAGTTGTGGCGGTGGATGCTGGGAAAGGCGGGGAGCTGCGATGGCGCCCCTCGCGGCGAGGGTGGCCCGCGCCACAGGTCCTGCTCCCGGCGCTGGGCACGGGGTCGTAAATGCCAAGCTATGTGCTGAGGTCGTTTCCGCTCATCCTTGGGGGGGCAGCGAAAAGGTGGAGGCATGGTTGCGCGTGACGTCGGCTTGATAGGTCCGTGGCGATGGTTGCGGGCGCGCTCGTTCGATCCTGCGTCCGCTGCGTGGCCGGGCACTTCTCGGGGGGCGCGGCGGCGTCATCTCGCGGAAGATGGCGCGGCGCACGATGTCCAGCCCGACGCGGCGGTGCTCGACCAGGTCCTCGGTCTCCATGGCGAGGCGCAGGCTGGCGACGGCGTCGGCGCCGCTGGAGATGCACGCCCCGCCGTCGACAATGCGGTCGGGGTCGACGCCCTCAGTCTGGAGTAGTGGTGGCTGATTCCTCGCCGCGTTCGCTCGCGCGGCGGGTGGCGTCGCCCGAAGCATGTCCGCCCCGGGCCCAGTAGGCGGTGGGGGTCCACGCACGCGGACTAGACGGCAGCTCCACCAACGCGGTGCGGATGCGGTCGCCTTGCATGATGGTGAGGCACGCGCTTTTGCATTTGTCCACCGGCGTCCTGTCCTGGCGCGCCGCGCGGAGCTGATGGGCGTCGCCGTCGGGGCGGGGGTGGCCCAACGCAGTCTGGGAGAACATGCTGGCGGGGAGGTAGCCGTCGACTTCAGCCCACGGCGCTGCGGCCTCGGTGTCGCGGTGGTCATTATCGCTAGTACTACTGCCGCTGACGCGCGCGGAGCCCGCGCCCGTGGCAGTCGCATCGTCGGCGCGGTCGGCGAGGCCGCGTGCGCGTCGTATGCTGTGGTGGATTTTGGCGACGTGCTGGGCGGCGATGCTGTCGGTGTGAGGGCCCTCAGGGGAATTACTTGCGCGGCGCCTCCTGTACCTCGGCGGCCGCGCGCGGTCTGTGGCGGCTGTCTGCTTGTCGGTGGGCTCTGTCTGTTGCACTTTGATATTGTAGCGCGCTTCCTCAGGTGTCCTGACAGACGGCGCCAACGCGCTTGTGTAATGCACCTTCGGGTCGCGCCGTCCGTCGGCGGCGGGGGCCTCGCTGGTGCGCGGAGGGGGGGACTGGCCGGAGACGTCGATCCAACGCTGCCGTCGCGGCACATGGTGCCGGCGCTAATGCGTCTCTTACACTTGCCGCCTATGGGGCTACCGTCTATGCACGATCTCGAGCCGCTGTCTCTGCGCATCGCAATCGGGCCGGTGGCGGTCGGCTGAGGGGCGTCGATGCTAGGGCGTCGTTGCTGGGACCTGGGTGGTTGCCAGCTGGGCGTAGCTTGCCTGCTCCGTCTTGAATGTCCGATAGGTTCTGCAATATCATTTCCATGTCGACGTAGCCCGTGAAAAAAATTCGCGATGTCCGCGACGACTTGGGTTGCCGGCGGCGGCTCGCGTCCGTGCCTCATGTTGGCGACGGGCGATTGCGGGTCCCACTGGCTGATTTGGTAGATGGCGAATATGACGACCCTGCGACGTGCACTGCCGTTGTGGCACTTGTTGGTTTATCGATGCATATATATATATATATATATATATACATATGTGTTGCCTCCGGTGGCGTCGCATGCATCCCTCGTTGTCTTTCGCAGGCGGTTGTCCTGGCAAACGTTGGTGGGTCGGGTTCATCGTCGTCGACCCCAAGGGAGGCACTTTGCTGAAGACTAGGTCGCCCGTGGTCTCGCTCATGCACCGAAGGTCTCCTTGTTGTCGTTGACCAGGTGCCTTGTCCAGGGCGACCGCGGCGTCCGGTCCTCTGGGTATTCCCACGCTGTCTCGCGGGTCTGTGGGTTGTGGTAGTAAACCCGAGCGGTGCTGTTGTCAGGGTAAGCCCTCGATGGGCGAGGCACTGCGATGGCATGCGCTGGAAGTGATGGCATCCCGCCACCCAGGTTCGGATGCTCTTTCTTCGGCGCGGCTGGCTCGTAGATCAGCGAAACGGTGCGAGCGGGCGGTATATACCCCGGTGCGAAATCGATCGGCCCCTAGGCTGCCATTGGGTAGTTGTCCATCATTGTGGAGTCGATGCTGCAGGCATCGCTACGAGTATGATGGCAGTATTCCCACACTGCTGGCAATGAAGCTTCGGACGGCCGAAATGGCCGACTCGACTTCTCAGTCGTCCCGAGGAAAGAGGGCGTGCGCCCTCCTCTCCCCGGACCAGGTGGAGGTGGGTGGCTTGCGCTCGTTCGGGTCGACGGCCTTCCAGGCTGGACACATGCAGTGCGAGCGTGGCCACAAGAAACCCTCGCAATAAACCTAACCCTGAAAAACCGCGCGCGAAGTGCACCAGAGGGGAAACCTGGAGCACTCTGAACGCAGCAATTCCTTCAACGGCGGCGGGAAGTCGCCGCGCAGCGCGCGGAGCGAAGAAACCCAGCATACCCTGACGAAAAGTATACGGTTTCTTGATGCGCGCCCCCACTGTACGGTGACAGCCAGGCATGTTTGTGCAAGGCCCGAGAGGTTGAGCTGCTCGTCTTGCTCGAAGTCCCGATTGAGCCCGCGCGACCCACGGAGCTCCTTTGGCTTGTTGTCCTCTTCGGTCCCGCACTCCTCGCCGATGGTGTTGTATGTCGTCGGTCATACGGATCCCCGTGGAGGTTCCCATGATCCTGACCTTCTGCGGGCGGCTGCCACGGCGCGGCGTTCCTCGTAGGTCTCGCAATGGGCGTGGCTCCTTAAGAGGGGTCTGAGATCCATGTCAATATTGACCGTGCCGCCGATCGTCCAAGTCGCCATGATGTCGCCGTCGTCTGTTGCGCCGGTTACAACATCCTCGTAAATTGAAACGGGCCCTGCGAGCTGCACTTATCTGAGCTCTGCGCGCCATGCGTGTGGGTTGCCGCTCACGATCCAAGTGTCATTGCCATTGGCTGCTGTGATCCCCGCGGTGGCCTGTAGTAATCGCTGTAGAGGTCCGGGGTGCTGATCTCGCTGTGGCTGCAGTGGGCGGGGGGGTGCCTGGTCCCTCTATGCGCCCCTCGGAGCCTGTGTAGCCAGCCCTCCGTTGCTCTGCGGCGTGATGTCGTGAATGTCCTCGAGGTCTCCTTCCTCTCCTCCTGCTCCTCCTCCTCCTCCTCCCCCCTTTTCCCTCCTCATCCTCCTCATCCTCCTCCTCCTCCTCCTCCTCCAACCCCCCCTTCTTCCCCCTTCCAACGCAGACTCGGCATCCTCGTCCTCAACCTTCTCTCCCTCCCTCTACCCATCTCGTTCACCTCTCTCGTCGTGAACCTCACGATCACAGTGGACGCCGACCTCACACGCACACACACACACACACCTACACACACACGAACCCCAATCCTGTGGGTGGCGACGACGGGGGCGAATGGACAAGGAAGAGCCATACGTGGATCCAAAGGCGCCAGTGGTCCGTACCTTCAACGAGGCTTCCGGGCGAAGACGTGTAAAGCCCTCCCCTGGGCTATTCGCCACTATCGTCGCCTCCGATCCTGTCCAGCCCAGAAAGGCTCGGCCCCAGATGGGCGAGCAGACCTTCCTGGCCTCGGGGCCAAAGCAGGCATGGGTATGGGCCCGGCCAGGTCTGGGGGTCGGTGCACAGCTGGCTGAGCAACAAAATGTGAACCCTACGCAGCCACGCGAACGCGACGTAGACCTGCAGGTCAGACTTCAGAAACGCTGCGGCAAAGAAGAATCGATGGGTTGCAGACGATGAGCTTCCGACGTCGTGGCTTCACGCCGTGTGCTCCCGAACTCTCGCCCCCTCCCCTGGAAAAACCTCCTCAGCACGGGTTGTTCTCTGATGGCCCTGGGGCCTGGATTCCTCCTCTTCCTCCTCCTCCTCCTGCTCCTCCTCCTCCTCCTCGTCCTCCCCCTCCTCCTCCTGCTCCTCCTCCTCCTCCTCCTCCCCCCTCCCTCCTCCTCCTCCTCCTCCTCCCTCCTCCTCCTCCTCCTCCTCCCTCCTCCTCCCCTCCTCCCTCCTCGCCTCCTCCTCCTCCTCCTCCTCCTCCTCCTCCTCTCCTCCTCCTCCTCCTCCTCCTCCTCCTCCTCCTCCTCCTCCTCCTCCTCTACTCCTCCTCTCCTCCTCCTCCTCCTCCTCCTCCTCCTCCTCCTCCTCCCCTCCACCTCCTCTCCTCCTCTCCTCCTCCTCCTCCTCCTCCCCCTCCTCCCCCTCCTCCTCCTCCTCCCCCTCCATCCTCCTCCTCCTCCTCCTCCTACTCGTCCTCCCCCTCCTCCCGCTCCTCCTCTCCTCCTCCTCCTCCTCTCCTCCCTCTCCTCCTCCTCCTCCCTCCTCCTCCTCCTCCTCCTCCTCCTCCTCCTCCTGACACTGCCCAAAAAAGTCTGTTCAACAGGCACTACTCTACCCCTCCTCCTGTACGTCGCCGACTCTACCCCTTCCTCCTTCCTCCTCCTCCTCCTCCTCCTCCTCCTCCTCCTCCTCCTCCTCCTCCTCCTCCCCTCCTCCACCTCCTCTCCTCTCCTCCCCCTCCTCCTCCTCCCCCCTCCTCCTCCTCCTCCTCCTCCTCCTCCTCCTCCTACTCCCTCTCCCCTCCTCCGCTCCTCTCCTCCTCCTCCCTCCTCCTCCTCCTCCTCCTCCTCCTCCTGACACTGCCCAACAAAGTCTGTTCAACAAGCCAACTACTCTACCCCCTCCTCCTGGGACGTCGCGAACTCTACCCCCTCCTCCTCCTCCTCCTCCTCCTCCTCCTCCTCCTCCTCCTCCTCCTCCTCCTCCTCCTCCCCCTCCCCGCCCCTTTTTCGCGCCCGTTGCCATGGCCGGCTTCCCGCGCCTCCTCTGCCCGAGGCGGGCGCCGGGACCAGGCCTCCCCGGGGCCCCACTCAGAGCCCCGGCTCGCAGAGGCCAGAGGCCAGAGGCCCCGCACGCGGCCATCTCCGACGCTCAGGAGCCGGGCGAAGGCCGGCAGGCCCGTGGCGCTGCGAAAACCCAGGGCTCCCAACTTCGCGCTTCGCGCAGCGCGAAGTGCGAATAACTTCGCGCTCTCGCGCCGCCTCCCGGGGAAGAGGAAGAGGATGAGGGGGAATCGGAGCCGAAGCGCGAAGCGCGAATAACTTCGCGCCCTCGAGGGCGCCCTTGGAAAACGGAGCTCCGGGAAGTAGTGTTTCTCTCTTCTGGGAAGCGACCCGTTTGCTATGCTATTTTGTGCGCTGGTGAGCGTTCTTCTATTCGGCGATGCGGCATTGGGCGGAAAGGGGGGGGGGGAGTGGGGGTCTGGCTCCAGACCTCTGCTCAGTGCGACTGTTTGCAAGAGTGCTACCTCTGGGGGAGACTCCACCCGCTCGAATCAGGCGCCAAAAAACAGCCAAGATCTACTCCATGGGAGGCTGGGGGAGGGGGGGAGGGGGGCCCGCGCCGATCGGCAAAACAATGAATAACAAAAACGAACACCTGAGTTTTGCTCCGGGAATTTGCCTTTCTCTTCCAGGAGGACCGTGTTAGCAGCCACGGGTCTGCCAGCCCTCGCCCAGCTTCCGAGGCTCGCACGGCGGCCCTCCGCCCCACAGCGCTCAGGGCGGTGTCCGCAGCGCTGCTGCTCTCGGTGCCCTGACCCGCGCGGCAGGCTCTGTGCCCGCCCAGGAGAAGCTGCAGACTTGCCGCGAGTGCTCGCCCTGCGCTTCCCGTGGCGACGCCCGCCGCCCACGATCCAGCCCACACCCAGCAGCTCCTGATGTCAGCTACAGGATCATCGACAGACCCACTGGGAGGCAACCTCTCGGAGGCCTTCGCACGAAAGATGACGGGCTAGGAAGCCCCATGAGGTGACCATGAGTCAAGAGTTCAGGTGGCCATCTGGGTTTAGGCCCGATTCAACGGGGCTGGAGAGGATTAAGCAAGAGTGTGCTGGGTTAGGCCGATTTCCGAATACGGATACACCAGCGCCGATGCCGAACTAAACCTACCAGGAGCTGCGTCCTCAGACGCGTTCTGGATGTGGCATGCACGCGCCACCAGACGGGTGTAGCGTCGCCTCTGACGCGGTTTCCCAGCCACGCCTCATGGACGGGAGCAAGCGGCGGAGGTCCTTGAAACTTCTGGCTGCAACGGCAGTCTTCTTCTCAGCCTCATGCGCCAAGTGCAGCACCATCAAGGAATCGGCACAGTATGGTAGAAACATAGAATCAACCAACATGACGACGTTCGATTGCAGATGCTCCTGGATGAGCTTCCGCCTGCCATTGATCCAAGAAGAGCACGTGAACACGCCTGCGAAGCCCAATGGCATTCGGAGGGAACATCACACGAACAAACTGGGAACGGTGCACGCTTTGACATATATCAATTCACAACTCCCGAAGAATGAACGATAGAAACACTCTTTTCGTATCAGACAACTGGGCTATGCGAGGAGCTAAGACGAAAAGCCTGGGTTGGTCCGACTAGGGAGTGAACTTGATCATGAAACAAAGCACCCGAACCACAATTTGCAAAGAACTGGCGCACCACCAATGCGTAAGGCAATTGGACTGACACGTGCTCACTGGAGCATGCCCACCGCTGTGCGCTACGTTGTCTTCCTTCAGACCGCTGCCACAGGTCCGAAGGAACTGCTGAGTACCTGACAATGTCACGTCTTGGCCAAAGGAACAAGCCTGCCCCACAATCATCGCACACAAGGCCCCAACTGCTCGATAAGCAGATAACTCTAAGCAGGGACCGACCGTCCTGGCACTCCTATAGGCCTACCACGCCGTGTTCGACCCCAATGTGTCCGAATAACAAAAACAAGGTTCTGACAACAGAAACCCGATGTGTTAAAAGAAGACAAACTCAGCCAGAAATGTTCTAAGCTTTCGTGCAAGCCACACAATGAGATTCGAACACTCTGTGGTGGGCCCACAGGCGAGCTGGGACGCTTCGCCACTGCCTCATGACTAACGTGAACACGATTCATACAGCGGAGTCTGAAACCTGGTGGGCCCGTGGGGGCCGCTCCGCTGAGGCTTTCTGGTCAAGTGCCACGCGCTCCTGGACCCCAGGATGGCCCCAGAACGGCCCATGGGCCTGCTGGCCTGCCGATCGCGGGCCTCAGGCTTCCCCGAGACAACCCACGGGCGCCACCAGCGGCGCTGAGAGCCCCCAGCGGGCTCCGCAGCCGGCACCCAAGTCAGGGCGACGAAATCTATACATGTCGGTCGGAAGAAGTAGGTAAACACATGAAGTAGAAAGGCTAATTAAGTTGATTGGGTCCAGGCCCCCCCAGGGAAGAAGAAAACACAGCAAAAGCGTGTCGATTCTTGAAGTAGGAAGGCGCTTGAAATAGATTGGGATCTGGGAATCCAAAAAATACCTACGTTCAGCGACCGGCGTGTGCATGTCCACTGCTCCCTGGCCGGGCACTTCCTGCACCCGGCAGCGGTGTATACACGACACGCCCTCCTGGCTCGGACAGGGGGGCGTAGACACAACTCCTGGGGTTCAAGATAGGCCTGGCCAGGGAGCAGTGGATGAGTACCACCCATCGCTACGAAGAAGTAGGTAGGAACATGGAACGGGAAGGCCTGAGACATTGATTGGGTGTCCGCCCGCCCCCTGAGGAGGACGGAAACGGTGAAGCCACCACTCGATCATGGAAGTAGCAAGGCGCCTCAAGCAGAGCGGGATCTGGGAATCCAGAGCCACCTAGTTCCAACGACCGATGGGTACAGACCTCGTCGCCGTCCTCCTCCTCCTCCTTCTCCTCCTCCCCGTCCTGTCTCACCGCCCGACGGGAGGCCCCGACAAAACCCCGCAGGGCTGCGCAGAAGGAGGCCGTGCACCGCGGCCACGCCCGGTCCGGCCGCCCCTGCAGGACCCCGGCACGGTGCGCACGCCCCCCGCGGCCGATGCCAGGGCGGGCCCTGCAGTGAATGGAGCAGCCCACAGGGCCCCGATCCCGCTGGGGCCGTCGGCCACCACAGAGGCCTCCTGGATGGGGTCGGAGCACAGCCGGGGCGGATTGGAGAGGACACGCGAGAGGGGTGCAGTCGTGGTGGATTGGGGAGGACACGCGAGGGGGCGCAGGACCCTTCCGATGGCCACACGGCCAGTGGAACGTAGAGGGCATGGGTCGCGCAACACGCAAGACACAAGGGTACCCCTGTTTGGGCAGGATCGGCCCACTGATCAAACTCGACTGTAGATGAAGCGAAGGATCGGACCGCATCGGCCATGCATCGGCGATTCCTCGCCGATGCATCGGCGACGTCGGCGGTGCATCGGCGCCGTCGGCGTGGAAAAAACCGGGCTCCGCACCAAGCCGCATCGGGATGCATCGCGATGCGGCGCGATCCTCCGACCCCATCTACTCGGACCCCATCTAGGGGGCCTAGAAACCAGAAAGAACGCTGAGTAAGGAACGAAGTAGCTTTTCTGGCCACGGCGGCCACCATCAGGTCACAGGACCTACGTCCAAGGAACCACGGTCTTAAAGCGAAAGCCCCTCCGGGACCTAACCCGGGATGCAATCTGACCAGAACGTCGAGAATCCAGCGGTGGCTGCGAGGGCCTCCCAAAAGACTCACAAAACGGAAAACGTGGGAAGGGTAGCGGCATGGGTACCCATTCCTCCCCGAAGATACACCATTCCTCGGCCTGGTCCGAGAAATACGCGCGGACCTCAGAGTGTTGATGTTTACGTCATTGCAAGTTCCCCTATAATGCTCGCCCGTCAGAAAAAGGAATAGGTAGAAACATGAAGTAGAAAGGCGGATAACGTAGGTTGGGTTCAGGGCCGCCCCAGGAACAACAAACACAACAACACATGCAGGCTCTTGCAGTGGGAAGGCGCTTGAAGTAGAATAGAATATGGATTCCCGAAAACGAGCTGCTTTCAATGATAGGCAATCGAAGTACGCCTAGCCTAATCCTTTGGGAGGTGACCTAAATCAGGAGGGCCAAACACATTGGGGATGGATGGTTGTTCGTTTTCAGGTGCCTCGGACGGCACCACCCACATGCTTAGGGATGGCCCACAGCATCGAGGACCTAAGGTTGGCCACGAATTCATTGTGCTATCAGGGAATACGCTTAGAGCCGCACCCTGGCCAGAACATCCTTCGAGAACATGGGAGCCGACGTCGGCCAAAACAAAGAAAACATCCAAGGGTATCTAACAGGGGATATGTCGACCCCTATCCCAGGCTTCGTGGGGTTTCCGAATGGACCAGAAATTTGGGGCCTAACCCTGGGATATACGATGGGGGGGTGTCCATTCTCGATAGGGGTGCGTCCGAATAGCCCCCTTGGGGCGTATCCCAGGGTTTTCCCATTCTTCTGAGCGGCCAGACTTTTCGGGCGAAACTCGGGGATTGGGGGAGAAACATCGCCCGCGATCCCCCCCTAATGCACAAGAACATCGAACAAACACGAAAGCACGAATAGCTGAACAAACAACAGCATAAACATGCACTTGTGGCGGTCTGCGCGGATTTCGTGGATCTGAGCTGGAGCCCGATCCCTGGCGCGCGGAGCGCGCCAAGGGCGGCGCCAGGGGGGGGGGCCAGAGCAAATCCAGGACATCCGCGCGGACCGTTGACGGTTCATGTTTATGCCGCTTTCCCTTCGTCGAACTCGGATTAGGTCGGGCATGTCCCCCTACAGGCGGATTTTTGCAAGCAAGAATTTCGAAACAGTCGGAACATGCTCAAAATAAAAATCAGACATCCGCCGACCCTGTCGGCGTGTGGAAGAGGCTGTTCCGTTTGACTCGTCGTCGTCGTCGTCGTGGTCGTTGTTGTCGTCGTCGTCGTCGTCGTCGTCGTCGCCTCCGCCGCTCGCTTCCCCCCTTTTCCCTACGCCCGTCGCCGTTCCCCCCACTTTCACCAGGTTCTCCTCCTCGAGCGCGCCAGCCACAGCGAAATTGAGCAACGTTGTAATTAAGCCCCTTCCCTCTGATCCCTTCCCCCTTCCCCGCCAGGGGGGGGGTCCCGGGGGTGAGGGGCGCGAGGGCCGCCGGGAAGTCCCGCCGCCTCGTGGGAAGGCCTTTGCCCTCTCACGTCCCCCCCTCTCTCGCCGCCGAGTGCAGCTTCTCACGCCCGCGCAGGAGGTCGCGGCCGCGTGACCGCGGCGCGAACCTAGGACACGAGGAGTGTTATGGATCGCAAGGGCTGGTCGGGTGGGCCGCGCGTGCCGAAGGCCTCCAGCGCAGGCAGCTGGAGCTTGAGGGTGTCTATCTGGCCCCGCAGCTTGGCCGCCCCAGCCTCCTGTGCAGAACGGCGCGGCCGGATGTGGAGGAGGTGGGAGGGAGGGAGGGAGGCTGGGATCCTCCTCCTCCTCCTCCTACCCCTCAATCCTCGTCCTAGTATGTCTCAGTCATCCACCGCCTCAATCTCCGCCTCCACAGACGATCGCTTCAGACCAACGAACCTTCGAAAACTTTGCCCAGAGGACACTTACCCACGTAGTCTGGCCTCGGCGGCCACCTCGTCCTCCCCCTCGTACGCTGCGCAATGGGTTCGACCCTTGCCACCTCAATTTCGAGGGGGGCAAACGCCCACGACCGCGACCCGACTTGAAGCCGCATCGTCGGCTCGGCCCGAGACGAGGAGGAGGAAGAGGAGGAGGAGGAGGAAGAGGAGGAGGAGGAGGAGGAGGAGAAGAAGAAAAATGCGAATGGCGTCCGCGAGTACCATCGAACTCGAGAATCCCCTTGTGCCTGCTGCTTCTGGCCGAGGGGCTCCCGCGATCCCCCGGCGACGCACCGGCCTGACCTGGAGTGGCTACAGAGCACGTGCACGCACTCGCACACCCACATGCCACAAGAGGCACTTCCAGAGGGGGCCATGCTCGCGAACGTTGGCGGCGAGCGAGGGGGGCAGTGAGAAGGAGGAGGCCTTCTCAGAAGGCGGCGGGACTTCTCAGAAGCCCCCGCGCCTTCTGAGAGGTGTTTCCTGTCTTCGTCGAATGCTTAGATCGACGAGCGCGTTCCGCTACCCGCAAAGTGTCTACCCGCGAAAGGCCTGGATCTCCCGCCAGGGATCTATACGCTGGATTACGTCAAAGCAGAGAGGCGTTTTTCGGACGCTTGCGAGTAGGCACTTGGCGAGTAGTGGAGCGCGCTCGGTGATTAGAGAGCATCTCAGCAGGCCGGGGGTCCTCCCAGCCTCCTGGGAAGGCCCGCCCCTCCTCGCCTTCCCCCCCTCGGCTCGCCGCTGGACAGGGGCAGGGCGGAGGCGCCGTCGTCAGACGACAAGACGACGACGACGACAAGACGACGACGACGACAAGACGACGACGACAAAATGACGACAAGACGACGACGACGACGACGACGACGACGACGACGACGACGACGCAGGGCGGGCGGACCTGGCCTGCGCTCAGAGACACCCTTGCCGAAGGGGGGCAGGCAGCGCGTGCAGTGCATTCGGCCTTGATTGGACAGGACACGCGAGCGGACCCAAGACCCTTCCGAGGGCCACATCGCCACAGGAGTGCAAGAAGGCACGTGTCGCGAGGCACGGGACACAAGGGTACCCTCGAGCTGGCAGGGTCGACCTACTCATCCGGGCCGACTGTACACGCCGCAAGCTCTGCACCTACTAATCCGGGCCGACTGTACTCACTTCACGCCGCAGCGTGACGGGTGGGCCAACGCCGTGGACAGGGCCTGCACCCGCCCGGGAAAACACCGTGCGGGCCCGTGCAAATCGGACAGCCGGTCCACAACGACCCAATCACGGTGCCCGCATGGCATCGAGTCGTGACGTCGGATGAAATCGAAATGTGCGCGGATCAGGCTGCATCAGCATGGATTTGAAATCGAATCGAATCGGATCGGCCGCGCCAAGACTCAACAGCGCCGTATAAGCATCGGGCCGCATCGGATTGTCGGAATATCGATGTCGAATCGGATCGATCTGATCGGAAATGGCACTTCCCAACTCTCCCTGTTCTTTCCGCCCTCCCCATTCCCTTGGCCCTTTCCCGCCCCTCTGCTCCTCCTGACAGCCGAGTGACCCTCGCCAGTGGGGGGGTCAGGGAGGGGGAGGGGGGAAAACTTCTTAGAAGGAGGCCGCTTCTTAGAAGGCACCAGCCATACATCTGTAGACGGGGCCTGCGCCTTCTAAGAAGCAGGGGTGCTTCCAAGAGGCCTTCCCCCCCCTCCCCGCACCCCATCTGTGCGTGGCCGACTCTTTTCGGGGACAAGTTCTTCCACTTGAGCCGTGTTGTTGCAGGATCCCGACGCCCAATAGAGGGCCCCAGGACGTCCAGCAGACAGAGCAATGAACTCTCCCTGGCGCAATTTTCTGCACGACGCGAGAGGGTCTGGGGCTGCAGGCTGGAAAAACTCAGATCGACGACGACGACGACGACGACGGCCACGACTCGCGGAGGCGGGACGAGGAGGAGGCGGAGGAGGAAGAAGAGGAGAGGGTGAGAAGAAAGAGGGGAGGAGAAGTACGAGTAGTAGCAGGAGCAGGAGCAGGGGCAGGCGTAGGAGGAGGAGGAGGAGGAGGAGGAGGAGGAGGAGGAGGACGAGGAGGAGGAGGATGAGGAGGAGGAGGAAGAGGAGGAGGAGGAGGAGGAGGGAAAGGACTAGTACAAGGCGCTCGGGGAGGTGCTCCAAAGCAGCAGCAACGGCGGCTGTGGACATCAGCTCTCCATGCGGGTGGTCATGTCAGCAGGGCCGCGGATCAGGAAAGCCCACATCCCACGGCCTGCTGGCACGACCCTGTGGGCTCTATGCCTCAGCCCCCCTTCCGCCCTCCCAGCCCACTTGTTTGACTCGCGGACAGAGGGCGCAACGTTAGGAAACAACTACTGGGAGGTTTTCGTCGGAAAGATTAACACAATCTCAGATTGAGCCCCATTGGGGGGCTGTTATGCCGGAGTGGGCCTGAGATTGAGCCGGATCAAGCGGGATTAGGCGGAATTAAGCCGGATTAAATGGGATTAAACCGGATTAAGCCGGATTAAGGACCAGGGCAAAAACAGAATTTGACCTCCCAGGAGTTGCATCCGAAGCAACTGCGCGGCCGTCGGAGCCGCAGCACGGTGACGATCTAGTCGGGCACCCCCGGAAGCTGCGCGATGCGGCGCGCAGCCGAGGGGAGCCCGACATGGTGGCCCTGCGGCAGAGGGCGGCGCGCACTCGGCGACGCAGGACTGGCGGGGTCGGGAGGCCTGGCGAGGTCGCGTCCTCGCGAGACCCCTTTGAGAAGGCCTGGTGGGGCAGCCCGAACACGAGAGCACCCGAATGAGACGCAAACGGTATCGCCGCGCCAAATGCGCGCCAATGCTGGTTTCCGTGCGCACCATCATACACTTGCGCAAGCACAGCCACAACATGTTGCTGTTTGTCTTAGCGACACCGTGGTAACCTATATGAAGCACGTGAAAGCCAAGTCTACATGCTGCTTCCCTTTGTTGGCACATCCACGATATTTGACAGTCTTGCCAGCGCATATATACTCATTAAGTGTGTACTGTTTAAATTTTATCATGTTGAATGGTTTGCCGTGGTTCTCAACAACTCCCATCTCACTGCACGCATTCAAAGCGACGTATGATTCCGCCGCTTGTCCCTGAAAGTGGAGTCTCGCCACTGGATCCAAGACAACTGGCGTCGCCCCAGCTTAGATAACTCATACAGCTGATCCAACAGCTGGCCATGATGGCATGTAACCATGTCATTCGATTTATGTGCCACACTGTTCTCATGTATCCGCCTCCGCTTCGACGTGCACGCCGGCATTGCTCCCGTCCCGTCGTTGCACTTGTGTCACTGATGTAGAATTTGCTCTCTCATCTTCCTGTGCAGTTTATAGAGCGCCTGACCACGGGAAGTACTCTCTTCATTGCGCTTGTGATCATTAGACAAACCACGCACAAATGAACCTTGAACAGAATCCGCACTTGCACCAAATGTCATGCAACATGCTTCAAGATACTGTGAATCATCCGCATGCCAATTGTTCATTTTCTCCACGTCCTAGTCCAACGCATTTCTCCCTCCTCGCTGTGGGCAATGCGCCCATGCAAATCTCTTGCCAATGAATTCGCACTTGCAACACATATGATGCCACAATCTTCCGAACATAGTGCCTCATGGGCCTTCCCCTTGTTTATGTGTTGCGTTTCTACCCTGCTTGTTGCGACGCCCACATGTACATGCCAAGATATTGCGCCGTTGCGAATCAGAGCCTGGCCCGAGATTGTGCCGACATTATCACCATACCCATTGTTCTCTCACTTGCAGTCCGAATCAGTTGTCGACGCTGTGGCTACAGTACTGCCAATGCATCCAAAAAAGGCTCAACACCAGAGAGATAATTTGCCTCGGACCGTCTTTGTGCTGTAGGGAGGCCAATGACATTCTACGCGTCAAGAAGTAGCAAACCTGTTCGTGATACTGCAACCCATGCAGTGCACAAAGCCTGAAGGAAGTACAAGGTCGAAATGTGCCGCCGCTTCCCCTGGAAAGACAAGAATGTTCGGTTTCAGATCAATTCCCAGGTCATCTGCCCCACTGGCCGCGGGAAGTTGTTTGGCCCTGAAACGGTCGGCTGTCGATGTGTGGGAGAAACTTCGGTCGGAAGAAGTTCCTGAGCTCCTCGCGCCGACTAGGAGGAGGAGGAGGAGCAGGAGGAAAAGGAAGGGGCGGAGGAGGAGGAGGAGGAGGCGGAGGCGGATGAGGAGGACGAGGAGGAGGAGGAGGAGGAGGGGGAGGAAGAGGAGAGGAAGGAAGGCGGAGGAGGAGAAGGACGCGGAGGCGGCGGAGGCGGAGGAGGAGGAGGAGGGGGAGGAGGAGGAGGAGGAGAAGGAAGAGGCGGAGAAGGAGGAGGAGGCGGAAGCGGAGGAGGCCCCCCCCACACACGGCGGCGGCGCCAACGGCGGGGATCCTTCTCGGAGGACTCGGCCGCGAGGCGCGAGGACTCCGCGGAAGCCCGCTCCCAGGCGAGGCGCGCCTCGTCGCCGGCATGGGGGGGTTGTCCTGCAGCGCATGCTCCTGCCTCCTGCTCCACGCTTTCCTCGTCACCCTCCTCCTCCTTCTGCTTCTCCTCCTCCTCCTGCTCCTCCTCCTCCTCTTCCTTCTGCTTCTCCTCCTGCTCCTCAAACTTGCCCATATCCTGCCTCCTCCTCCTCCTGCCTCCCCCTCCTGCCTCGTCCCTCCTCCCTCCTGCCTCCTCCTCCTCCTTCTCTTCCTCCTCCTTCTCCTCCTCCAGCGCCTCCCCCTCCTGGCATCCGACTCTTCTCCCCCCTCCTCCTCCTATTATTCCTCCTCCCTTTTCTTCCTCCTCCCTTTTCTTCTTCCTCCCTTTCTCCTCCTCCCTTTCTCCTCCTCCTCCTCCTCCTCCTCCTCCTCCTCCGCCTCCTCTTCCTCCTTCCTCTTCCCTTTCTCCTCCTCCTCCTCCCTCCTCCTTTCCCTCCCTTCCTCCCCTCCTCTTCCCTCCTCCTCCTCCTCCACCTCCACATTCTACGTGCTGCCCCCCCCAAAGATCACACTCACCAGGTTTCCGAACTGCGCCCAGCCGTGGCGACGACCCCCCCCCCCCACCGACAGCCAGCTGCCCGTGCCTC